GAGTAATTCCTTGTAGTTTAGGATGAGTTTGAATTAAAACAATCAAAACATTCCTAATTATGTAATTTAAAAAATTAATTAATTAACCAAACTTTGAAAAATCATAACAAATTTTAGAAAACTCTAAATTGAGCAAACTCAAAGGTATAATATTTAATAAAAATATCAAATCATCAAAATCACTCAAAATTAAAAAGTAAACTTTTTAGTCAACTTCAATTCAAATTTCAACTTAAATTTTAAAAATTAATAATTAAATATAAAAAATTTCAATTCTAGTAAGCTTAAAGTCTAATTATTCATGTTTACGTTGAGTATTTGATAAAAATATCAAAACTCCATAATTCAACTCTAATCAAAAAGTCAACTTTTGAGTCAACTTTAGATCAAAATTTTAATTCAAACTTAGAAAAATCCTAACTAATTATAGAAAAATTCAAATCCAGTAAAATTATTGTCTAATTGCTCATTCTAAGGTCTAATATTTAATAAAAATACTAAATTTCTAGAAATCAATCTTAATGTAAAAGTCAAAATTTAACCCCTTAATTTAAAGATTAAAATAATCCAGAAAATTTTAAAATTCAATAATTAATCTATATTCCAGAAATTATTAATTAATTAATAAAATTAATCAACCAACCCTTTAATACACAACAAACACTTCAAAGATAAAGTTTTTAGGATGGACTACTCCGAGTTAGAGTGCTAAGTATACTAAGGAGGCTTGGTTCATCGAGCCTGGTGGCACAACGCCACGAATGGATTCAATAGAGTGTAAAATCTTAATCATTTGATTATTAATAATTTAATCAAACTAAAAATTCCTAATTCAACCACATCAATTAGGTTTTTAGGCTGGACTAACTCAGACTGCGGGGGCTACGTGTCTTAAGAAGGCTTAGTTCCTCAAGCTGGTGAAATAAGGCCACAAACCGATTGATGGAAATTTTAAATTAATTTAATATTTAAAATTAGTAACTAATCCAATTAATTAAATAATGTTGATCCTTTAATTTCTAACTAATTAAATTTGTTTAATCAATCAACCTTAAAAATGCATTCTAAAAAAAAAACCTTAACATATTAATATTTGAACTTTAGCTAAATTTACCCTCCAACCTTCAATAAACCCAAACATTAAACAACTTTAACCAATTCCTAATATAGGACATATCCACGCCACATAGCCTACCTCACACACTTATATGATTTGTTACGGCACCAATTCTAGATCTAAGCTAGGCCGGTGTTTATTTTTCTGCTTTGTACCGAGTTTTTTGAGCTTTTACTGCATGTTAATTGTTAGAATTAAATAATTTTTGTGATTGTTTATTTAATTTCTACATTTTGTGATATGATTGATTGTGTGTTAGATTTATTCTTAGGTTATGGGCATTTTAAATACTAACATAATCTTATACATATAATCATGCTCATAAAGGATATTTTAAAGTAAAAAAGGGCAAAAAATATATAAATATTAAATTGCTACAGGTGTTCGCAACACTAAGTCTCCCTTTTAAAAATTAAAAGAGCATTACCAAGTGTTGTTGGTTTTAGTATTTTAAATTCATATATATAACTACTTGGGATAATTTAATTATAACTGCTTAGGATAACCCTCCAGATTATTCCAGTCTATATTTTTAATTTTATTTAATATAATTTATTTTAAATTGAGTTGTAATATTAAAGTAATTTGATATGTGATAGAAATCCAATTCGGAACCGAAAAAGAAAAGAACATCCCTCAGGGGAGAGTTCTTATCCATTTGAAAATTCAAATTTGGATAACTTTCAAATATCCAAAGGGAAAAGTGTCCATTTCAAGGGGAAATTTATTTTCATTTGGATATTCGAACCTAATGGATCCAAAAAGCCCGCAGAAGTATGAAGAAATGAAGATTGAGAAGAATTCATTCTCGAATTCACTTGAGTTTAGTAATAGAATCCGACCTATTGTCAATGGTACCTGATCACTTTACTTTATGCAGACCCTGAGTTATAATATTAAGATGCACTTGCCACATGGACTTTCACTTTGAATATTAATTTAATTGTAATTATTGATTGATGTACTTATAATGTGATATATGATTACATGCTTTTAATAATTTTTTTAGCAATTTTGCATACTGATCTTTACTGGAACCCGATCGGAAGCTCGTGAGGGTATACTTAAAACTATTTCTACTTTAATTAAAATTAAAATGTTTTAAGCTCAGATAGAAACTATAACGATTTTAAGAAGTAAGTTCGGGATCGTCGGGGGTTCGCATAATATCTTATTGCACCTTGTTTCCTTTGTTAGGCACCTCCGATTTTGGCAGATCACTTGGCCTATGAGGGTAAAGATCTGTCAAGGGGAATCTATGCAATCACTATGAAAAAATCTATTTTAAGCCTTTTTAAAACAGGTTCATTTTGATTTAAGTATCTATCAAGTCAACTAACATACATTGCATTATATAAACTTAAAAGTGTCTAAAAATTTAATTGTATTTAGTTTTAACATAAATTTATCCAACATAAGTCAATGGCCAATTAAAATCTACTCTAGATGTCAGACCCATTTCTTCAAACTTAATTAAACAACAGTTTTACTACTCTTATTTAAAAGATCGGCCTCGTGGTTTTAAAACACCTAGGTGGTTAGCTGACTCCTTAATCCAAGCTAGAATAAGTTCAGATTTACACTACATTAGCTAGGATCGGGTTACTGATTTTTAGTACCCAATTTAGATTTAGATTTTGAGGCAGACTCAGGCTATAAAATCTCAACCTTCGAGAATTGAATCCCAACTTTCTAATAAAATTGATAATTTAACTTAAAATATTTTTCAATCCAAATTTAAGCCCAATACTTAGGATAAGCTAGGATGCTTCTGAAATATTTCAGAATCCCAAAGCACCTTCTACCCTTTCTCCTTTGATTCCAAAAATAAGTGTTCAACTTTGATCCAATCTCATTAAAAATTTCAATCCTTACATCTTTTGACATCAAACGTTGAATTCTTAAATAAAATTTTTAATACTATTTTAATCGAGAACATTCATAGGAAACTCTGATTTTCCTACGATGTAATTAACTACGAGAGCTTACACTCGTAGGAGATTTAAAAACCAAGATCAAATTTTCAAAAATTTAATTTTCCAAAAAATTATATTAATTATCTTTGAGAAAATCAAATTCGACGATCATTATAGTCATATTCAAATGATTGATAGTAAATGATATTTTCTATCTCCGGGAAGTTATATTGTTTTATTATCATAATTTTGATTATAAAATTAATAATTTCTTTATCCTGATTAACATAGACAAACACTTGATAAAAATTTATTTTGACTCTCCAAAATCATATGTGATTCTTTCCTAAGATTGATTATAATAATCAGGATGAACTAAAAATTTTGAAATTTAAACCCATTAGAGAATGATATGTTCACCTTTCAAGGTGATATATCGTTCATAATTACGTGTTCGATTTAAAAACTAAAAATTCAATATATTAAATTCTCCCAAAAAAAATTAATCTTTTTTAAAACTCAACAACACTTTTTCAATCAAGCATAATGATACAAAAATCTTATAGAATATAAAAAAATATGCTTTTTCCGATGGAGGTGATTTCCAAGATTGAGGGAGGGTATAAATCATCTGAAGGATTATTATAGGTTAGAGAGAAATATTATGCGTGAGGGTCACCGTTTAATCATGGAAAAAGTAAATCTCAAAATAAATTTAAAAATATTATTTGCTTCTATTACAAGAAGTTTTACATAAAAAAAAAAAATTATATTACATTGAAGAAGAGAGAGCAAGAAGCAAATGATGAAAACAAAATAATTAGTTAGACTATGCAAGTAGTATTATAGATTTTTATGCTATTAAATTAGAGAAGATCTTTCTTTGATTGAAGATAATATGGGTAAAAAGTAGTGGATTGTAGACTCGGTTAGTTCTAATCATGTGTGTTCTAATTTAAATAATTTTTTTATATATGAGACAAAATTAGGTGGCTTTGAAAATTTAGGCTATGTAACATTGGAGGTCCTAGCACTACGAGGTTGAGAGCACATTGTGGCATAATTACATCAATGGCTAGTGTCAGGTATGCAAGAAATTTGAAGAAGAATATAATATCTTATAGTGCTCTTACTTTCTAAGATTGTAAATTCTATATCAATGTTGACACTATTAAGATTTGTAAGGCAAATAGAGTTAATGAACTCGATGTATTATAAAGTGTAATGTCAAATATTTGTCAATTGCTTAGTACCCAGTCAATTCATTATGGCCAACTTAAAAGAGGTGGACAATTAATCAAAACAAAAAGATATAAGAAAAAAAAGTGTATCATGAGCTCCTCACATAATAAGATGAAAAGGTTGTAACATTTGTTATGAAATTTGAACATTAGATGTAATTTTAGTTTCAAAGAATGATTGAAGTATGGGGTTATAATAAAAATTTTGAACATTATTTAAACCTTTTTCGAAATTTCATATGCACACTAAGCCCTTTTAATAAACCTCAAGCAAATCTTGAATGAGATTCAAACCTCATATTATATAATCAAACCAAATTGGATTGAGAATCAAATAAGATACAAATTAAATTAAAAAAATGCACAAATATTGTTTGAAATAATATCTCTACTTCTTTAAATTACCCCATTTATAAATATACTACAAGATCAGATTAACTTATAGGAAGGCAATAAAAATGCCAACTGAGAAAAGAAAATTAATAAGAATTGTTTTAAAAATAAAATTAGAGTACAAAATGATCAAGTTAAGGCTTCGTTCATTTGGAACAGCTTTCTTATTGTTTCTTAAAACAACTTTATAATTCAAATTTTTATACCGGAAAGTTGCTTTAAAAGCATTAAAAAAAGTCGCCTCAAATGAAGTCTAAAAAGAACTTATTTTAAAGCTAATATATATATATATATATATTATATATATATATATATATATATATATATATATACATATCAAAGCTTATGACTAGTGTTTGATTAATTTCATCCTTCAAAACTACGCCTCTGAAGATCATATACTTTATAAGGCTAATAACGCATTAGTTAAATAACTCTTAAAACAAACTGAAGAAGATTTTACAAGAAATTCCTCTGAGTTGATCCAGAAGAGAAGCGAGAGGACAGACCTTGAGCCATGCTTTCAGAATCAAGATTAGCCTTCTGACGCCCAGCTGTCAAATCCTTCTCACGATCCCATGGCTTCCATGGATGCATACCTTCCCATTCTTCTTTCTCTGTCTCTTTCAATTTCTTTTTGGGTTTTTGTCTTTCTTCTTGGTATTTCTGCACCAAGGATTTTGAACGTTTTTTGGAGTTGTATCTATCGACTAAGTCGGCATCTGAGCTTTTAGATTTCTTCTGGTGGTCTGTGTCAGCAAGTTCTTTGGTTTTGTTATAAGCTTCTAAATAGCTGCAACAACAACGATAACATTTTCATGATTCTCAGCCTACTTGCAATGCAATATATACAACAAGGAGAGCATATAAAGGTTCAACTCTGGAAAGTAGCAGTACAACTGATAAACAACGAACAAAATTAGAAGGAAGAGTTTCATTAAAATCTGAAGATTTCAGAAAATCTTCAGATTTTAATCCTGTTATTTTAATAACACTCTAGTTTCATTCCCTTAATTGGTTAAACCCAATATTTGTTAAATCCCACCATTCATAGGATTTAACGGATTCAAAGATTTCTCTTCACAAATCTTCAATTCTGAAATAAATAGTCAAACAATTCATCAAGATTTATTAACAATTATGATGCCAACCAATTTTCAAGTTTTAATACTCTCAGGATTTACTAAATCTAAATTTAATAATTCCTACATGTAGCCAAACAGCCCCTGAAACCATTTTTTTGACATGCAAAGATAAATTAACTTACTTCTGCTTTGCTTGCCTTGATTTATCGAGGGGAGTGTCAGTCCACATGCTGGTATCACCTCGCCCTTCCTTGCCACTCTTGCTAAATGATGTAGATTGTACCGGCATCCCTGGCTGCGGCGGAGATGAAAAAAAATGAAGGAAGATGAACACAAGAAAGATATATATGGAATTATTTTTTGAATTTATATGGAAATAAAAATCCCAACCATAGATCAGGTATTACCTTCCTTTCTGGAGGCAATTCAGTCATCCATTCATCCCTTCTGGCTTTGTGTTCTTCTTTTGGAAATGCAAGAAGTTCTTCATCCCCTTCAAGGGATATACCTGCACATTCATGCAGCTGGGTCAAAATCAAATTAGTGGAGAGAATAAATCAGATTTTATTATGTTCAAAAGATGAAATTTTGTAAGTGACGCTTATATTGGAAACAAACACTATATTTCAAAAAGAACATAACCCAATGCAATATCTAAGAAAGAGTTGCTGCCTTTTATCAGCAAATTCAAGAGAGATTGTGCACATGACTTGAACCCATGAAGTCCATATTACAGTGGAGACAATCTAACTAGTGCTCTAAGCCTTCCCTTTGGACCATGAAAAGAAAATATTTCTTAGCACGCATATTGTATTGATAGCCAAAAAAGTAAATATTGGAAGGTGATATTTTTTCAGTAAGAAAGCACTAGAAAGAAATTGACTAGTAACCTCTCTAAATCAACAAAGTAAAAAATCAATGAAGTATTATCAAACAATCGTCCTCATCATTAGCTTTTTCAAAAACATTTGACATTTAATTTATGAATATGAGCTCTGTGTACTCTTCTTCCTCATTCCTTTTAGTAAGTGCCTCGTTTAGTGTTAAATAGCTTCTGCAAGTCTTCAAAATAGCATGTTCATCAGGTCAATATTCTTGAGCGTCCAAATAGAGGATAATGATCATAATCATCATTAACCCTTATCCTAAATATATGGAATTGGCTCTCTTGAAATTGTGCTCATCATTTCTTTTTGTAGAGTGATATGTGGAATCAACTCTAGCTCAAGCTTTCTTTTTAGAACCTCAAATTTGCTTGCTTTTAGACCCTTCCCTTCTCACGCATCTCACATTGCATCTTCTTCCATATGATATGCGATTCCCAACAACTAAAACCTCATAACACAATTGTTACATTCAATCCATATTAATTTTATCACACATTCACCTTTTAACACTGCCTTATCTATCACATTTAAGATACTAATTTCATTAAAATATATATATATATATATATATATATTAAATAAAAACTGGAAGGGGTGATAAAAAAAGGATATTCCTTATCTTTAGCATAAAGCAATAAGTACAAACCTTGCAAACGTCTCCACTGTGCAGCTTCACGCAGCACTTTCAGCTCAGCCTACAGTGATATAAAAAATGCTATAAGGAAATGAAAAAATCTATAACAATAATCATTTATGATATAAAATCAGCTGAAGGAAAAAATGTGCTTTATCAGCAATATTACAACTTATATTTTGATGATAAATGAAACTCAAAGAACATTCAAAAGGATTAGTTGAAAATAAGAGACAATCAAGTTCTCCATCAATCAGAAACTGCTTGTAATGCAGTAAATAAGAATAAAAGCACTTATACATAAAGGTATTTACCTGGAATGCCTCCTGTTCTTCTTTAAGCTTTATCTTCTCATCAACAGCTTTCCTCTATAAAATTACATAACAGCATTGTGTCATTCACTAATAAAAGTTTAGAAGAGGGAGTCATGTAAAGTTGGGTTAACATGCATGCAACATCATTGTCTGCATAAAAATACAGAGTAAAGGAGCGTTGAGAAATCTGTTCTATGGGTTTTGCTTTCAATTGCAGAGAAAAGAAAGGAAAGAAGGTGCATTTAAGATCACACACAGATATAGAAATTTTGTACAATTACCGCATTAGATACTGATCAAGGATATGGGTAGAAACAAAATAAATAACAAGATTTAGGATAAACAGGATATATTATTTAGCATTCCATTCCTTTTTTGACGGTGATAAATTTTCAACCTAAAGCTATCAAAAATAATACTAAAGGATCAAATATTATCTATATTGAAAGAATGGCATATTAAATATTATCTATATTGAAAGAATAGCATATTATCTCTATTGAAGGAATAACATATTATCTATATTTTAGAGAGAGAAACATGAGAGAATGAGAAAAAAAGAGGAAGAAAGAGAAAGAGATAGAAAAAGAACAAGAGAGAGAGAGAGATAGAGGAAGAAAGAGAGAAACAAATAGAGATGAAAAAAGAAAGGGAGAGAGAGACAAAGAGGGATCGAAGAGAGAAGAGGGAAGAGAGACGAAAGAGAAAGTGAGTGAAAAAAGAAACTTTAAAGAGAGACAAAACGAGGGAGAGAGAGAGAGAAATAGAGGGAGAGGAGGGTCGGTGACAAAGGCCGGTCATGCAAGCGACGATGACTGTGGCTAGTCAAATATGTGACAACAATGACGGTTAAGATAGGGTGAAATGGAGCCCAAGGTAGGGTGCCCAGAAGCGAAGCATAGACGTGTGTGAGAGAAGCACAAATGGCTAAGATGCGAAGGTACGGTGTTGGGATCAACACAAGCAATAAGGACACAAGCGAAAGGGAGATTGAGAACAAGAGCAACGGAGAATGCAAGAGGGAGGTTGGGAGAGAGTGTGAGGCTTGCGAAGGTGTGGAATGGGGAGTTCTGTGCTGATTTGAAAGGAGAAGAACGAGAGGGTACTGATGATGTGAGAGAGGGATTGGAGAGTCGTGGGCTGAGGGAGATTTATCATTATTATTTTTTTTTAAAATTAGGTCAACATATTTGATAGGTAGTTTATATTAAATTTGGAACTAATACATTTAAAATACGATTTTAGTCTTAGCCTTTGTAATTATCCTCATGGAGTAACATTTAAAAGCAACAAATAACACACCTAGAGTTATATTTTCCAAATTACTTGTAGTTATATTTGTCATTTAAAATAGATTCACATAGTTTACTTAAATAAATCCATGAAGATATAAATAACACACCTTTTCTGGATCTTGTAGATCTTTAAACGCTTGATTCAGTATCACAAATGCTTGATGAGCCTGTGGATGAGAGCATTTATCCGGATGCACCATCAGAGATAATTTCCAATACCTAATCAATCAAGTTCAGAGCAAAAAGAACTTCATAACCCTTGCGAGTGGTGTACATGTAAAAAAGCAATTGGGTATAGTAATAGAAACAATAGTGGTAATATTTTCATGCTTCTAACTTGAATAAAAAAATATACATGAAATGATTCACCTCTTAAAATCTTGGAAACTTCATTTAATACAACTCTTTACTCATAGGAAAGTTTGTTTTGCTACGGAACATCATAAAAAGCATAGTAGCCACAATTTGTGAAAGCACAACTAAAAATAAGAGTTAAGACCGCTTAAAATTTTTTCTTTACATAGCAGGGTTTGCTGTGCCAACAATGATAGGAGTTTTCGTGCATATGAGAATGTTCTGAAAACCTCCATCAGAAATGCCCGAACTGAGTTCTCAATTTCACTTTCAGCAAGAAAGTGTGTATAGGGAATTAAACTCCTTACTCCCAACTAGCTCTTAGTTCACTGGAAAGAAACTCAAATAAAAAAAAAATTAATATTTCAATAACTTGGATAAGTTCAGACAAATATGCATTAAAATTGGTAGAAAAGTTCTAATGCTATAATACCGAGTATGATCCAAAATTCAACCACTGTTGTCTAGCATTACTAGCAGTCGATCAAAGGGAATAGAAATCCAGATTTCTGAAGATAGTTTAACTACCTAATCCAACTCCAAAACAAGAAACTTGATATTCCACAATTCTTGAATTCAGGTAAATACTGATGGGTTGATGGTCAAGATCTGTATGTGGAGTAACCCTTCATAACACAACCTTAATTGTTGTTTCTGTGGCTTAGAGTTTAACGAAGACAAAGGCTGTACCTAGAAGATTTAATTGGTGGATGATGATCACAACATTAATGTCTAGGGTTAGGGTTTCCCAAATAATACCCAACATGCAATATCATGAAAAAGGAATCTACAGCTAGAACAGGGTATATCAATCTAGAATGATCTTACTTAGAAGAGTACGAACTCTAACATTGGCACTACGGCTTATGAGAGAGAGAGGTGAAAAAAAGGAGGATAATATGGAATAAGGGAGAAGTCCAGTGTTGACCCCTACAATAAATACACATGAAAAGAGGGAAATCAGCAATTTAAGTGACGCGAGCGTCAGCGCGAGGCTTGGGGGTCACTTGAAGAGCCAAACGACCTCCGATCACCAAACGGGCAGCGTCGTTACGATCAAAGCGTCAAATTTTCCTAAGAAGAGGCTCCTCACAATCAAATTGGGTGAGAACGATTGAAATCGGCGACCAACACCACAAGGTACTCTTGGACAAAGTAACCCATGGCTGTCGGCAATGATCCTTCTGTCATGTTGGATCTATTACATCCTCTAACTACGTAGACTAGGGACCATGATGACTCGAGATGACGGAACCATGGGATCTTGATCAAGTACATCATCACTCCCCCTATGATCCATTTTAAAGTGCAAGGTGGAAAATTTCTAATTTTAAATATTAAACATTCAAATACCAAACTATGTTGTTACTATACGACAGATACCATGTATCTGTTTGACAACTAGACTTAATCGAAAGTTCTCTCTCATTATCGAGAGAGGTAATTAATTATAGGTGCTTGCACCTATAGGAAGCCTGAACTTAGATTATGAAGTCCTAGCAAAATGAGGGTGAAATCTTTGGGTAATGCCTTATTCAAAACCCAATCTTCCTTCTAAAAATTTTCCTTAGAATTAAAACTCTCCTCGACTACCAGAAGAAAAAAAAAAAGAAAAGGTGTCCACTAAGAGGCCGGGGCGCGAATTTTCGAAGCCCACAGCCAGTCAATCAAATGCTCAATTTGAGGGAGGAAACTTTAAATTGTATTATTACTCATGCGGAGAAATAAACATCCAAAATGAATATATTAAAATTTTAAAAAATATGATAGCTACAAGAGATTTCACCATCCAAAATGACAAGGAGAGAAAGAGGAGAGGATAATAATCTTATCATCTCTTTGCTCCTTGGCCTGCAACCATAGCTAAGATTGAATTTTCATAATCACATGGAATGACATGGCAAATGGTGGTCCCCTCTTAATAGTGTATGTAATTGCTTAGTTGGCTTGATGCTGATTTATGTGAGTCCATCAATCACATGTAGCTCACCTAAATAGATTAGATAGCTTAAAATGCAGTGGCATATCACGTGATTCCCATAGTTACCTATTCTAGTATTAGCTTGGATCAATATGTGAAAAACATCTTGAATCGCAAGTCAAGTTTCCTTCATTTCATAGAATATTAGGGCAAGGCAACGACTTCAGAATCAAATAAAAAGAAAACCTAGAAAACAATATGAGAAACACAATGCAATTTGTAAGACACATTGCAATTTTTAGAGAAATCAAGGCATTATTACATCAACCAATGGTGTTTCTTTTTAGGAATATTCAAATATGAGAAAAATATCAAATTGGTTTCCTAATTTTTTCTAAAGGATCAAAATAGTCTCTAACTATATATAAATATCAATATGGTCTGTTAAAATCCTAGCCATAAAAGAAATACCACAGCCACAAAGCATGATCCATGGGAAGCTCTTTCAATCCCGCCAAAATTACTCTCCCAATGATTTCTTTTCAAAGTAGAATAGCTGAATTAGGAAGGATCATATTGAGGCAATTATGTATCAATTTGAAGTTATTTGTTTCTCTGTTAAGACATCTTGTATAGATCTATAAATAGGGATAGTTGCATGCAATAAAATTATGTTTTTCCCTCTTATTCCTCTCAAATTCTTGCTTCTAAATTGGTATCATAGCCACGAAAGAAGTAAAGAGAAGAGGAAACCATCCGAGCTCAAGCAAGGGCGAAGGAGCCAGAGCCTAGCAGACGAAGCCTTACCATCCGAAGCCGAAGCCTTGATCTGAAGGACAAGAGTCTATCGTGAGAAAGACGAAGTGGAGCTTTACCGTCAGACGCCGAAGACGGACACCGGTACGCTACAAACACTGCCCTCACGCTGACTCTACCAGAGAAAGCACGCCGAAACTAGAAGAACAGGACTCCCACTCCCATCTGGAAGGACTGAGAACGCGACTTGAGGGACAAAGTCGCGCCCTAGCTATCCGATCCAAGTCATTTTAAGACTTGGACCGACTGGTTATTTGAGATAAAATTAAAAAAATAAGGAAAAATAAAAAGAGAAAATAAAAAAAAAATCATCGGCCTTTATAGCCGTAATTAAAGATCGGAGGGATCTTACTTTTTTTCTTTGCAAGCCTTCATTGTTGTTCAGAATCAAACATATAGTCTTCATTACAATCATTTTGCCCAAAAATGTCAGAAATTAATTCTTCTCCGAACATTGACCAATTTGAGGATTCCATGATGCCCCAAGGATGAGGCGACCTCCAAAGCATGCATCCTTCCTATCGTTTCAATGGGAAGAACTATCTAAATTGGTCTCAATTTATGAAGGCCTATTTAAAGGGGAAAGGAAAAATGCAACGCCTTCTCGGAGGACCAAGAGAAGGAGATCATAATTTTTGGGCTTGGGATGAAGCAGACTCCATGATTATGTCATGGTTATGGAATTCCATGACTCCAAAAATTAGCGATACATTCATGTTCTTTTCCACCGCTGTTAACATCCATATCACAGTAAAAAGAAATGAAAAAGAGACTTAAATCGTACCTGAAATTCTTTCCTGAGAATGGCCTGAGTACTGAAAGGCCTGTAATCCCAAGTTGCCACGCGTCGTGTACATCTGTCGGCACAACGATCTACTGCCGAAAATCCTCATAGGAAGATTTCTATGATCGAGAGATTGTCACAGCCTGAAACCCAGTGACCAAAAGAATTGTGACTGGTCAAAAGATTTCTGTGGTGGCTGCAAACACCACATCACTGCAAACTGGATTACCTGCACCTGAGAAGAATGATGTTGAGGCTTCCTCATCTGGAGGAAGGCTCACAAAAAGGCAAAGGAGAAAGAAGAATGCTGAGCTACGAGCCCAGCAACAACTACTGCCAATGCAACCATCCAATCGGTCGGCCCGGGAGCTAGAAGCAACCATTCCTACCAGGAATGGATTCACGAATTAAAATGGGTAAAGAGAAATAGCTCCACTGGTACTGAAGAGATCATTTTGGGACCAGCAGCCTGAAGTGCAAGCACCTCAGAATAAGGAGCCTGAAACTCTCTAGGCCACTAATGGTCGAGACCAAGAGAATTCCACCAAGAGAACACTTATCTGTTGCGGTGGAGAGAAAAAAAAGAAAATATGTCCCGCGCGGTGAGCATCGAGGCGTGACACCTGACCTCGGTTTCAGGGATCCGCTGCCGAAAGGTCCCAGCGGAAAGGAAAAGAAATTTGGAAGCCAAAGCCTCGTAGAGAAGAAGAAAGAAGAACTAATCTGGGCGTGACATCCGGTATGACTTCTCGGAGATCCGCCACCATTTACAAACAACGTCAGGAATGGGTCCCAAAAAGATCCACAATGACACCCCTCCCGAAAGTCGACACCTTAGAGAATCCTCCAGGGGATCTCGTCGCTCGCCATCCTCTCCAAAGGAAGAGACTTACTTTTACTGTAGCCCACTGGTCGAAGAAATCTCCTTGCCTAACCAAGAACCGAAGATCCAGTGGCGTCGCCGCTGGGAAATTCGAGTACTAGAAGGAGAAGAAAAATGAAATATAGAAGGGGAAAAAAATATAGAAGGGGGAGAAAACGTTGAAGAAGAAGAATATATAGAAGAAAAAAAAGGAAGAAATTAATAACGTCATAAATATGGAAGTTGTCTATATGGTGACACATATAGACATTGATGATGGCGCCGATTATGATGACGGTGAAGATGATGACGATTGGCGGCTGCAACCTAGATAAGTATACCGGCGCCTCCACGAAGATTGGTCCACCATTGGCATAGGTGTCTATTCCTAAGGAGAAGAGGAAGTAGAGGAGAATCCTTTTGATGATGAAAACACCACACTTGACGATATGCGACGGCAAATAAGACAACAAATTAGGGCA